TATTGAAACTTTAATTTTCTTAGTTTTATGTTTTGATTTATTTGTCTAAACATGCCTATGACGTTGATCCCTATAGAAAATGGGATTACTCCACTGAATTCCTGTGTAGGTTTATTTTTCAGCATTCATGTCCGGTAAATCAGAGACAACAATCGGTTCAATAGACCCATTCACAACATTGCACAACTTTCCTACACTACAAGAGTTATCAACCGGAGAGCACAAAGGAGAAGACACAACCCCAACATCATTAACAGGTACAATACTATCCACCAACCCGATAGGCTCATCTAAACACAAAAGGAGAAGCCACAGCTTCATTAGACGGAACAATCACAGGTAAATTACCTTCACTAACACCTTTCAAAGAAACAGGGCTAACCTCACGAAAACCCAAATTAGAAACACCGCGAGGATTCGGGACGGGAGAAATAATAGAATCAACAGGCTCCCCTAAAGGAACAAAATCAGTAACCACCGGAGGGAGAGCAGAAATCAGAGGTTGGAGATGAGGAAATAGCTTAGGACATTCAGTTTTTTTGTGACCCACAACCTTACAATGCTGGCAAAAACTTGGAAAACCTTCAAAAACCACTTTTGAACATACCCAAATTTCTCCGGTCCCAACCACACCGAATCCGGGTGAGATTTAGAGATATCAATTTCTACCAGGATACGAGCGACTGAGGGACGCGATCCGACAGCCGTAGCATTATCTGTTTGAATCGGATGCCCAAAAATCGAACCCAATCCAAATAAAATTTTAGGAGAAAACAGGTGAGGACGCAGTCCTGGAAATGAAACCCACACAGGGACGATCGGCGACTCCTCCGATAGGTCGAGTAGAGGTGACCATTTGATTATTTTCATGAAACAGCCAGAGACAAAATAGGATCGGTGTGCAAAAATCTTCACATAATCTAAATCATTAGAAAGTTTTATCAAAACATTCGATTGATCCAACAGAGTGACCGAAAAATCGCCGGATAGTTTTAGGTTGAAAAAAAATCTACGAATGGAATCCAAAACCGGACGTTTCAGGGGAAACTTCCCCACCAAAGCTTACTCGAAAGGTTTAGCAAGATGCTAAAACTCATCTTCCGAAAACCACAAAGCCGGCATACCTCGAATGGTAGATACGCGACAATCCGGAAATCCATCCGAGGCAACAGAACCAGAAAGCACCTCTTTGAATGATTTAGAGTTCTTACCCTCAAGAAAACCCGGATCCAATCTCTTATTCGTCATGAAAAACGCAAGCCACCGACGAGAGAAAGGCGGCGGCTAGGTTTCACGAAGGAACCCTAGGAGACGCATCTAACTATATTTGATCAACATTGAGTATATATAACTAATTGACAATCTATAAACTAATCAGCTGCGTGCATGTGAACTAAATAGATTTCTCTTATGATAAGATGATTCAATTGAATGTTAGTTTTGGTATTAGTGAAATAATCAAGATAGGTATTGTATGATGTTTAATATGAGGCATATGAAAATCTTAGATGGCAAAATTTGGCGTAGATGAAGAAACAAAAAATTTCAAATTTGATGTGTCTATTTTTTATGTTTCTATTTTTTATGGTAAAATTAATTCTAAAGTTTTTATTGACTAGATAACATATATGAATAATTTATTTTACTGACATAATGTTCGAAAAATGTGACGTTTGTAAAATTAAAATTTGATAGACAAGCTAAAATATATTGGATCATTATGGAAAAATGAGAAAGAAAGGATGCGTTGTGTTGGGATGTCTTCCATTTGGATTGAAATGAAAAAACTTCTAAAAGATTAATTTGTTGCATTTCTCTAATTGTGTTTATTTGCTTGATGAGATTAATTCATTAAAGCAAAACACTAAATTTGCTATTAAATATATAAACAAATTTGAAAAATTGTTGCTACATCACGAGATCATTGAAGATCATGAAATCACAATCTTTGACAAAAAGCAAATACGATGATTAAAAAAGTTTTTTCAATTAGAGTAAAAATGTTTTTTAAATAAACATTAGTGATTATAATTATTTAATATTAGTGATCATAATTATTTATAATAATAAATCTAATAATTTCTTTTCATCTTAGCAAAGAAAATATAATTAAAATATTTATAATATATGCTTCTATTGTAAATTTTTAACAATATAACATATTTTATTTTCTTAAATTATAATAAACATTTTGGTTAAGTGATACTATTTTTTATTTCCAATCTCAAATTAAAGCCTCAAATTTATATTGTAAGAAAACATAGAATCTCCTTTTTTTTTGCCAAATCAATTAGCAATCAAATGAGTGCTATATATTATGCAATAATTAATTATTGATTAGAGAGTAATCAATAACAAATTTTATCTTCTTAAGATATGCATATTTATAAAGTTAATGTGAACGCTAAACAAATCATATAATATATTTACCATAAAACGTTAAATTAATATCATTTCATGCATAAGACATCGATATCATACGTACTTACACGCATGCAGGAGGAAATGATTATCGTTTGGTTCTTCGATCAAATACGCATGATTTGGCCTACCATTTGTACCAAACACACTGGACTTTCCTGTGAACAAAATAATTAAAAAAAAAAAAAAGATATAACAGGAATTAAAGATTTACATATATATGTGGCATGGGATTATCATCATAATTCCACCATGCAATTGATTAATTAACCTGTCTCATCCTAATTATACACTGCAGTTTTTCCTTTTAGTCCATATAAATTTCAAGATTTTCAAAATTATTGTAGACTTTTGTATTTTTATTTATATTTGAGTAGATCTAAAACTGAATATATGGAGTATAATTTTAATAGTAATAGATTTAGTAAGAGGATTGTGACTTTAGACGATCAAGTCATTAATAAGATATCTCAGATCTACTGTTCATAGTGATGATGAAATAGATAGGAATATTATTAATAGAATTCAAATTGGATGAAAGAAGTGGAAGAATGCACCGGGCTTGTTTTGTGATAGAAAAATCCCCTCTTAAACTTGAAGGAAAAATTCTATAAGATGATATATAGTGAGACCTTCAATGCTTTATGTTGCAGAATGTTGAGACAAGATACGAAATGAGCATATGCGTGAAAAAGGTTGGAGCAGCTCCAATGGAAAATAAGATTAGAGAGAGTAGTCTTAGATGGTTTGGTCGCATAAAACAACAACCTTCTGAAGCCTCGGTTAGGAAAGTAGATGTATTAGATTTGACTTATGTCAAAAAAGATAGAGCTAGACCTAAAAAGTCATGATTAAAAAATATTATAAATGATCTTTTTTTTTTATTAGATTTAAATGCAAAATTGACTCTTAATATGACACAATTGAAAAAAAAAAATATTCATGTAGCCGATAAAAGTTTGATGATGTTGTTGTAGTATATGTATTATTGTTATACCACTAATATAATCACAGTAATTAAATAGATAATATAGAGGTAATTATTTGTTAAAAGATTTTAATATAGAAGAGGAAAAATCTTAATTAATTTTTCCTAATTATTGGATTTTATTCCTCAATGATGCAATTATCATTAATTTCACCTGTTTGATTTATTTGAAATTATTAGGATTGATAGGTGATAATCAAAATAATTTAAGAAGATTATGAAAATAATCCAACCACCGAATAAAGGATAAATAATTGAGAATATAATTATATCATATAATTGTTATGATAATTGGTGAGAATTGGAATTTATTGGACAAGGCAGGTATGATTTGCTAATAATTAAACAGTATGGTCAAGCAAAACGGGATGGAATTTCCTTACTTCAGAAATCAATCAAATGAAAAGTAATGAAGGAAATAAGTAATAAAGTATATGGATATCCTTATTTATAAGGGATTATTGTGAATTGCAGGAACCAACCAAATCCCTTTGGGAAGCTTAGACTTTTATGATTTCGAAGATTTCAAAGATTTTGTAGAATCATTGAGTGCAATTCACTTCATTCACGTAACAATCGAGAGAGAGAGAGAGAGAGAGAGAGAGAGAGAGAGAGAGAGAGAGAGATCTAATTAAAGCCTTACCTTTAATGTGAGATAAGGGGGGATATTTAGGTAGATAAATCTAGTATTTTAAATGAGAGAAAATTCAATGTAAATTCATACATATATTATATATGCAAGCTTCAAACTCTAAGACCTGTTGGTTTTTTTTTTTGGACTTTTGAGTCAATTAAGACAAACTCATACACACATCACATACGCAAGTTTCAAATTCATGATTGGTTGGTAGTCAAAGCTCCTAACAAGCAAATCATGATGAGCTGCGTCAGCCTTAGCCTCAATTAGCAGATCAAGAGAGAGACCATTTGTAACTTGAAAAAAAATTATGCCTTTCAAATCATAATGGAGATACTACTATAATAATTATTTTTTGGAATTTGAACTCTTAAATTATTTCTAAGAAACACACAAAAATTAGGGTGCAGTTTGTGTTAATAGTAGAGAGAGAAAAAGTTTGGAAGAGCCCAAAAACCTTAATTAAATCTAGCACATCATAGATACTGTTCTTTTTAACTGGTAGGCATTTGAAATAAATATTACATATACTTTTGTTTTACAATACAACAATCAAGAACAATATGAATAATAGTTTTGTAACAGTAAAAAGTTTTACATTACAGATAGAAAGAACTGCCCTAAATTTAGCTAAGAAATCTGAATCATTTTGTTTCCCATGTGGAGAGAGATAAATAGGGTTCTCATTCATTTAATTAATAAGTAGTTGCTAGAATAGAGAAGCTCACATGTAATATATATTTTAAAAATAATGAATTTACTACATTCTATGATCATTTGGTTAGATGAAACTACAAATTAATATGAATTTTCAAGTTCATAGATAGCTTTAAAATCATTCAAAAATATAAATTTTGTTTTCACACTTAAAAAGGGAATATAAACAAAATCTTCATATTCAAGAACATATTTTCATGACTGTAAATATAAAATACAAAAAGACTCTCAATCTTGTGCAGATATCAACTAATGTTCATAGCTCTATTAATTTCTTATGCTTTCTTTCCAATGAAAAACTTCATGTTGCAAGGCTAAATTAATCTACTTTTTTGCTTCTATAGGAAAGACAAATCTTTCAATTCAGCAATCATCCCCATGGCACAAAATCAAGTAGAGAGTGTATTCATTTTGTAAGAGAAAGAAATATTTTTAAACATATAAGAGAGAGCTCACAAAGAGAAGAAGCATCAAGCATGTGGAATTCTTGAGCACCGATGGCAACATAGATCTTCAAAGCACTAATTAACCATGAGAGACGCAAAAGCTTTCCTTGCCTTCTTTCTTCCATCTTAGAAGAAATTAATATTCCCAATCATCTTCACATATATCTTCTCTTAAACTTTTGCAAGGAGGAAAAGGAAAAAAGAAAGACAGCAGTTAAATAACTCATATTAATCCATGGAATAGAAGAGAATAGTACTGAATCAATCAGACAAATCAAAGCTCTTAAACCGCGCGATGAAGCAAATCTGACCTGCAACACTTTGCTGTGGTGGATGTTAGCCAATTTGAGGCGCAAAAGCAAACAAAAAACAAAAAGAAAGAGATTGAAAATATTAAATAAAGAATCTCAGATTTCTAATAAACCTCTAGAATATTATGGAATTTCATTTCCTTCATTTTCCTTCATTCCAAGTAACTCAAGAAGAGGACAGGTTGTAGATAAAGCCATAATTAAGCTGAAGTGTTTCTTGTGCTCCTATCAGCAGGTGAAACTGCAACATGATCTGAGACTTCCATGATTTTGTGAGAGAATGAATATTTCAGATCATGCTGGCAGCTTCAGCTGCTCCTGGTGCACATGAAAAAGAAGCAAAGTTGAGGCAAAGGAGAAATAGAGAGAAAAGTAAAGAAGAGATACGATGGATTGTTAGCTTTCAGTGTTATATATATGATATATTATAAGAAAGCTGGAAGCAGAAGAAATTGTATGCGGGGAGGGCGCAGTTGATTAGAGCTTCCCTAATTTGTTTTAGGTGCAATGGTTAGACTTTAAGGTCGTTGATTACTATGTAATTAATGGAATTGTGGTCCCAAAGCCTAAAAAATATTTAGTAGTATAAGCTAATTATTGGCCACAAGAATCAAGGCACAAGGGCATCTAGGATTTTATGCTTTTAATATATATATAATTATTTCACCTGTATTTTTTAATTAATTTTTTTATTTTTATAATAAATGCTTATTGAATATTGAAATCGTCGGCTTACAAGCTATATTAATTAATCAAGGTAAAGTCCAAACCTGAGATAAGAGATGCTTATTGAAAGTCAAATTCTTCATAAAAATTCACTGTTTAAAATTATACAATATATACTAAAGTTATCACAAATATATATATAACAGATTTGAAATTCTTACCACCACCACCAACAAAAATATCTAGCTTTTATACTACTAGATAGGGTCAGCTATATGAATCAATTTTCTCGATCGGCTGCATGAATTTTTTTCTCCATTTTTTAAATATTTCATTTGAGATTGTTTTTTACTACTTCTTAAAGCATATTTCTAGTACAAATTTTTTTAATTTTTTACTACAAATCTTCTTTAAAAAGCATTAAGAAAGCATTCCCAAACAAAGCCTAAGAATCAAATTCTCATTTAAATCTAATTAAAAAAGTCATTCCTAACCCTCCCACAACATGTCATGATAAAAGAATACTTTAATAATTTGAAATTCTTTTCATATTTTTTGTAGGCAATCAAACATTTTAAGATTTCGTTTGGGATGATTTTTTACTACTTCCTAAAGCAGTTTTTAGCATATTTTTTTTTTACTAGAAAACCACTTTTTAAGAAGCATAAAGAAAACCGTTCCAAACGAAGCCTAAAAGAGAGAAAAAAAGGGCATCTGATTGATATTTAAAAGGGCCTTAAAAGTATTGAAATTTTGCATACCATTAATTTGATCCGCATAAGGTAGAGAGGCAGCTATTGGCATATTTCTGATTGAGGAATTTGCCCACCATCCCTTGCCTGGATGACGTACCCTTCCGAGATTGAAGCCGGAGCGAGGACTTCGACGGAGGAGAATACCGGCGAGGGAACCTGCAAAAGGGTTAAGAACAGAGAACAAAACCAATAGAACAGTAATGGAGTAATTTTGGTAGTATATTCCTTTTTCCTTCTATCACCAATACTTTGGCATCATATAGTCTATTTTCCTTTGGCTAATTTCTTGCCTATTCTAAATAAGGAAAAAAGGGAAATGAGAGAACGTTCACTAACAGAAAGTAAAAACAGAAAGTGTAAAAATACTGTAGTAGTGGAGTGTGTTGGCATGTGGTGTCTTGCAGAGTAGGATAGTCCCATCAGTCCTCCCCGCCTTCAGAGGAGGTGCTCCCGGCCGATGTTAAGGTAGTATCGGCGTCATCTGGAGGATGATATTCATGGATATCTGCTACATTAAAAGTGGAAGAAGTTTGAATATGGGCAGGTAAATCGATAACATAAGCATTATCGTTAATCTTTCGTAAGATTGAAAAGGGTTCGATCTTTATATTTCTAATTTAATTTTAGCATTTATTTATATTTCGTAATGGAGAAAAAAAGATTCATGTAGTCGACCCGACATAATAGGATAAAGGCTTGATGATGATGATGATGTTGTTGTTGTATTCATTTATGTTTCAACTTTTCATAAATCATTATAATGAAACAATATTTAATAATATTGGACTAAGGCTTGGTTTGAGATGACTTTCTTATTGTTTCTTAAAATAACTTTGTAGTGCCAAAGTTTTAATTTTTGTACTATAAAACTAATATAAGAAGCAATAAGAAAATCATCTGAAACGAAGTCTAATAGGATGTCTAATATATATTTTAAAATAAACATCTTATACACATCAGATATATGTATGGCACATGAACACATCAATTATATTTTCAAATTACAATCAATGAATTTTTTTTTTAATTAAGAAATCTCATTTAAAATGACGTTGTGATGCCACAGAATCTAATTTGAAAAAAAAAATAATCAATTTTATTTTAATAAAAACAAACAGGGCTACCTAATATCATATATTAATAATAAACAAAACAGATTATATAATGCAAAACATCAATATATACTTATGTATTCATTCCCAAAAATCATATACAATATTCAATATCTATACAATCATCATATATCTATCATGTCATGAGCAAAAGAGTAGCTAAAACAAAACGAACATGAACCTGAAGGAATCCCCACTTATACCGATATGTGTCAATTTCTTAAGAATTTTCACTAGGGTCCAAAAAATAGGAAAAAATGCGTGTAATTAAAATACTACAATATCAATATTATTGTGAAAAAAAATTGTAATTTTGAATTATATTGTCAATATAATTCAAAATTTATCATTTAAAACTGAAGCATCGATCTCTTTTCCCATCACCATCATTTTTAGCACAAAAACAATCCTAATAAAAATGCAGCTTATTTCTTATAGGGTTGACAAAATGAGAGTAATTAAAAGAAGGCTATCTATCTCAAATAGATGAAACTAACAAATAATGATCTCCATCTTAGCTTCCATTAATATAAGATTAGATCATACGATTTCATTAAAAGTAGACCTAGCTATATAAATTTCTTTATAACAATAGGCACCGGTTAGCCATTAATTTACCTAGTCATGCCATCATAAAATACCTAGTGCTAGATTCCAGAGACTGAGAGGCTGCAATTCGAACCTTTTGCCTCCTCTTAAAAAAATAATAATAAATAAAATAAAAATCAATGAGTGATTAACGCACATCAAACACTTTTAAGAGAAAAGTTAAGAATCTATTTAGGAGGATTGCAGTGTTTTATAAAATTGACTGTGATGTTATTATGAGAAAAATAATATACTAAAAAAAATTTTTTTTCTTCAAAATTTTTTAAAAATAATGAGAAAATAAAAGTAGAATGAAATTACGATTGCTATTTGAAAAATAAAATAGATTAAAAACTTTTTCAAATAAATCCTAAATTATATCTTAAATTATTCAAATAATTGTGAGTCTATGTATATGAATTATTTGTCTTGTGTTAATTAATTACACAGTATTTAAGTGGTTGGTAAGCTTTCCTACAAAATTTGTTTGACCAGCATAATACTTTTTTTTTTTTTTTAATTTAGGGTCATTTTACAAATTCATTTTTTTATCTGTGCAAAAAGGTTTAATAAAAAAAATTAAACCTTGCAATTTCGAGGCATAAATGTTCGATACAAGGTGCTATAGTTGGAGAGATTATTATATATGAAATTCGATACCGGACACATTGTTCGTCCTGACTCTAATCACATGAAGATACATAAATTTTCTCTATTATACACATCATATGTACAAAAGAGAAAAATAATAATAATTTTTGCTATAGTTGATACCAAATCAAAATCGAGCTAATCATTTCAGCTCAAATTTAATTATTTAAATTTAACTCAAATTAAATTATGTCAATTTTGTTGATTTTATAGAATATTTATTTAACTATTAACTATATACAACAACAACAACATCAAACCTTTATCCCACTACGTGGGGTCGGCTACATGAATCTTTTTTCTCCATTATGTCCTATTAAAAGTCAAATTCAAAATTATAATTAAATATCTGAATGAAAAATATATTAAATTTATATTGAAAATAATAATATATATATCTTAAATTAGTTTAATTTAAATATAAAATGATGAACATTAAAATTCATCCTGATGCATTTTACATCATAATATCAAATACTTTTTTTCCCTATTAACTTAATTTAAAATCTATATTAAGCCATCCAAAATTAAAAAAAAAATTATATTAACAAGATTCATTTCAATAACTTCATGTTCCAATATTTTAGGATGCAAGAACAAAGATCATTCAAATTAACTTATTTATTTTTTCCAAGCAGCTTGACCATACTCTCAGCAAGGAGAAATTATTCTGTATGGTCACCGGACGACGTCTAGAGGTGAACCGTTGTGTACTGAATGATATGACACATCCTGATTCTCCTCTGAACTGTCCGATGACCGCACAGAATAATTTATTCAAGAACATTGACAAATATTTAGTTCATTATGCATAAAGAAAAAAAAAGTGCTGCAGCAATCAGTTAAACTTCTGACAAATTGATGGAAGTGTAAGTAAAGCTTCTGTTTCTCAGCTATCTTGCCTGTTATGATACAATATCATTGAATAGGGAGTAACATTATGTTAGGCCGGCCAAAGAGGGGCCGCCTGAGTCGGTCCAACTTGAACTAGTTCTCTTTTACAGTTGGTGGCCGAAACTGGGGGGCGGGCAGATGCCCTTGTGGGACCCAAGTAATTAATTAAATTGCTATTTAGGAGGGAAATTTTGAATCAGGAGCTATTTAGGGAATTTGTAAGTTTCCTTTGGCTTTAGGCTAGGGTTTGGATCATCTTGAATTGGAGAAGAAAATTGAGATATAGGTTTTGTTCATTTGGGCTCTAAGCTTTCCTAGAGATTTAAAGAGTTGTTTCTTCCTCTCGAATTGAAAAAATGTGTATCTTGTATCTCTTTTCTTGTTCGTGAATTGAATAGAAGAAGTTTCCTTGTGTTTTGTTTTTTTTTCCAATTTTACTGAAATTCCTGCATCGTATTGCTGATTTCTCTATGAAATCAGCTTTTCTCGTTATTTTCACCAATTGTTGTTAGGTTTGCTTGCGAACTCAAGTATTTTCCTTAGGGTTAATTGCGAACTCAAGTACTTCCTATCACATTATCTGATAGAACAAATTAAAAAAAATGACAGAAAAGGAAACAATAAGCACAATTTTCAATCAAATGAACTATACAATAGTGAACTTGTGAAGGAAATTTGAAGCAAGTTTTTGAGATTTTGCATAATTATCAAATTCAGAAGTTAAAACTGCAACCTGATAACCCTAAAAAAAATTTAAATGTATGACTAAAATGATGAAAATAAATAACTTTTGAAAGGGCATATGGCTAATAATTTACTATCCATTTCTAACAGCCCTACTTATAAAAAAGGATATTAGATATGATAAAATAAAGAGTACTGCTGCACTCTCCAAAGAAATGTACATATAAAAAAGAAAAAAAAAATTAATATAGGGTCTACTTTATTTAGGTGGTCCAATAAAAATGAGAGACCGTGGATCCAACAACAGGAAATATGTGATTGGACCACCAAAACAAAGTTGATTCCAATTTATTTTTGTGAGAATTTTTTTTAGGAGTGTAGCTTTACAATAAGGCTTCGTTTGGAACAGTTTTCTTACTGTTTTCAAAAGTAACTTTTTAGTACAGAAACTTCTTAAACTAAAAAAAATTGTACAAAAAAACTGTTTCATAAAGCAGCAACAAGACCATCCCAAACGAAACCTAAGTCTTCATTTGGGACGACTTTCTTACTGCTCCTTAAAGCGGCTTTTCAGTACGAACATTAAAAAGCCATCCCAAAGGAAGCCTAAAATACTAGATGCAATGAAATGTAACCCAAGTGGTATGCAGTGGCCCCCTGTATACTTCACACGTAACAACCATGTATGTATGGAAAAATATGCTTGAAATTGCATGCATCAGAAGAAGAACCCACTCACCTACGATTGGTACCACCATAAACAAGCATGCATAGCTGTTCATACATCACGGTCATGGCCAATTCAGTTTCTGAGCAAGTTCCAAGCTGATGTAAATATAATTTGAAATCAGAGCCGTGACAATAACTTTCAAGGCCTTTACCAACTAAACTGGCTGACAACCACCATAATGAAGCAAAATTACAACTCCCATGTAAGCATTGCAGAGCACAACTGGTAAGGAGACAACAATAGAAGTAGCCCATGGGTCATCTGCAGTGTTGGAACCAAAAAAAGATAGAAAGTGGCTCTCACCTCCACAATAATAGATTTCTTTAAGAAAGATCCATATAACAATGTATATTATACGAGTTTTACCCCTAAATTTGGGCTAAAGGCTTTCAACAAATCTCATTTAAAACTTTGGTTCCACCATTGAACTCATTGGTAGACCTTACAACAACAACAACAACAACAACAACAACATCAAACCTTCGTCCCACTACATGGGGTCAGCTACATGAATTATTTTTCTTTATTGTGTCTTGTTAAAAGTCAAATTCTCGTTTAAATCTAATAAAGAAATATCATTTCTAATATGTTCTAACCAAGTATTTTTAGGTCTACCTCTACCTTTCTTAACATAAGTCAAATCTAATACCTCTACTTTTCCTAACCGGGTCATCGGAAGGCCGCCGTTTTATGTGACCAAACCACTAAGGCGACTCTCTCTAATCTTATCTTCCACTGGCGCTACTCCAACCTATTCATGTATATGCTCATTTCGTATCCTATCTATAAGGGTAAAGCCACTCATCCACCTGAGCATTCTCATCTCTGCAACACTTAACTTAGCATTATACTTGTCTTTTAATGGCCAACATTCGGCACCATAAAATATTACAGGTCTCACCACTATTTTAAAGAATTTTCCCGTAAGTTTGAGAGGGACTTTTCTATCACACAACAAGCCCGATGCATTCCTCCACTTCAACCATCCCGCTTGAATTCTGATAATAATATATATGTTTATTTCACCATCACTCTGAACAATAGATCAGGAAAAAGGATCTGAATAAGTGGTCCATGCACATGGTCTTCATTATCTATACATGAAACTACCAATGCATGAAGTGTGTATGCATGCGGTTAAACCTGAATGCATATTTGTGAACTTTGTACACAAATGCAGGAGGCAGAAAATGGATTAATACCATCATGGGGGTTGAAGATTCAAATCCTGGTAGATCATTAACACCAGGAATCAATATCATAAACAATTTCTGGACAAATATCAGATATACATAATATGTTTAGGAAAATTGAAAGGAAAGTGAAGGTACAAATAGGTACTTGAATTTGAAAGTATGAAAGAACATGGTCATATTTTGGCATTTTCGTTACAGTTAGGGAAATAGTATCAATAAATATTACCTTGTACATCAAATATTAAAAACAAGTACTGGGAAAGGTTGGAAGACAGTTACATAATTGAAGAACATTCAACAATAAGCAAAGAAATCCTTTGAAAAATCTTCGTGTAAAAAAAATCAACAATAATGAACAAGTTGTTTGTTTAGTACTCGAGTAAGTCAATGTATTGTGCTGATTTAAAAACCCAATATTTACACAGCACATATTTCATAACAGTAAATAAAATCCCAAACAAGTAAAATGACTGCATGAAACATGAAAAGTCCATTAAGACAGATTCTATAACGAATTTCCACGCAAAAAATTATTCAGTAGTAAGCATTTTTTAAATGTTATATTTCAGAAAAGAGAAACTAATAAGGTACATAAAATTCAGAAAATTATAGCTATGATCTCAAAGTTAAACTCGGTTGTAAGCAACAGATTTGCTGAACAATCGGCGAATGTACCAAATCTGGAGAACGCTGGCAAGCATCAGTAGAAGATACTCCACCACAGTATAAAAAATTAGGCGTCTTCTAGTGCTCTCATTTGCTGCATTATAATACATAATGAAGATAAGTACTGTTAATCTAAACATAATGAGATTAAATCTAATAAATAGATCCAACATTCGAATGCTATGAAGTCCTTTGCATCCGAGAGAATCATGAAACATTAAAATTTTCTGCTATTTTCCTCATTTCTCTTATGTATTTTGGCTCTCTTTTGGTATGTGTGACTCTTTTTAAGACCCATTTGATTGTTGGTAGATAGAAAGCAAGGTTTTAAAAGATTATGATTTTATTTTGCTCGTTTGTTTGTGAAAAAAAAAATCATCATATTTAAGTTTTGTGAAGCTTAAATCTGGTGTTTTTTTTCTTATCAAATCAAAATGAATGACCAGAGCTCACTTATTTGATTATTTGTAGATATGTTTCTAATATCATGATTTCATTTTTCACTAATTCTGTTTATAAGTTTAATGACATCATTATGCTTTTTGCTGATGATATTCTTCTTGTCGATAAGGCTAAAGATGAAGTTGAAGGAAAACTTACATTATGGAGTTCAACCGTAAAGTCTAAACACTTCATTTCAGTAGATCTAAAATCGAGTACATTGGGTGTAATTTTAGCAGTAATAGATCTAGTGGGTGGATTGTGACTTTGGGCGATCAAGTCAGTAAAAAGAGTGTATGTTTTAGATATCTTGAGTCTATTGTTCATAGTTATGGTGAAATAGATGAGGATATAATTAATAAAATTCAAGTTGGATTGTTGAAGTGGAGGAATGCATTGAGCCTATTGTGTGATAGAAAAGTACCCCTCAAACTTAAAGAGAAAATTCTATAAGAGGGTGATGAGACCGCAATGCTTTATGGCACATAATGTTGTCCATTAAAAGAGAAGCATAAAATTAAGCTAAGTGTTGTAAAGATGAGGACGTTTAGGTGGATAAGTGGTTTTATTCTTAGAGACAATGCAAAACGAATATATATGGGGAAAGGTTGGAGTAGCTCCAATGGCAAATAATATTAGAACGAGTAGCCTTAGATGGTTTGATCACATAAAACATCAGTCTTCCACAGACCCGGTTAGGAGGGTAGATGTATTAGATTTGACCTATATTAAGAAAAATAGAGGGAGACCTAAAAGAGCTTGGTAAGAATATATTAGAAATGAATTTTTTATTAGATTTAAATGAGAATTTAACTCTTAATAAGACACAATGAAGAAAAAAGATTCATTTAACCGATCCCACATAGTGGAATAAAGGCTTGATATTGTTGTATATTTGGGAAAGTTTGAAGCTAGCTATGTTGACCTAAATGATGGAAAGAGCAATTTTTATTAATTCCAAAAATACATAAAATAGGTATCACATGGGCAACATAAATAATATTTAGATTTTCTTTTCAAAAATTACACATTAATGTATGTAAAGATATTAAGAATTATATTAGAAGAATAACAATTAGAAGTGAAAATAAATTTAAGATAGATAAAATAGGAAATTATGTAGGAGTTAAAATAGGAAATTAATTACAAAGGACTTATTTGTATCATAAAAAATATAGATATAAATCATTATTATTTAAAAATAATAATAATAATAAAGTTATTTTGCTAATTAATAAAAAATTGTAAATATTCAAAGATACCAATAAATATAAAGTCATTTAAGAAATCATTAGACAAATTGATTTATTTATATTATAAATAAACATGTATATAAATTAAATTTTAACATAAGGAAATGTCACTTTTATAAATGAAGTATTTAAATTCTTTATTAGTGAATCCTCAAACCCTTTGAATGATAATCTAGATGTTTTCTATCTAAAATCCACCAAATGGGCACTTAAAATTTTCTATTATCGTGTATGAGAACACTTTTCTATTATCAGACCCAATCCTTACAAACTTTTCGCTTCTTAAATGAATATTGCTTACTTAGGCGATGGCGGGCATCACGAGCTTTCAGGTACCGTTGTTCTAAGGTAACAGACTCCAATGATTCTCTAAGCTCAGCAATCTTTACATTCACAGGATCAAAATGTTCTGCATCATATAAAATGTTGTCAGTGTATATACGAGAAAGTAACAAAAGCAATTTAACACTTTTACGATTGATAGGAGAGACACCCCATTGAAATATTGGGAAGTAATATCAAAGGTTTAGCACTTTGGGAAAGAAAATAGGTGGATCAATTTAACATGAATAGAAGTTCCAAAAAGTTTTAATTTCTCATGTAACACTTAGTAAAAATAAATGAAGAACAAAGATTCATATAATCAAAACCAAATAGTGAACGACCAACTATGACTGATGATGTTAGTAATGTTACTATCCATAACTATGAGAGGGATTATATTCAGATTTATCATTTCCATATTTACAGCCACTCAAAATACATCAAAAAAATCAATTACCACCCCTTCTATTGACAAGATGATCACCACAGCAATCTTAGACAAGTAGACTAACCATTTTTGGCAAGATGTTGCTCGCTAGGAATATGGCCAACATGGATGTTGAAAGATATAGACTCTGGAATTTTCGTTGGATTATGAAAACAAAACTTGTACATTCCACCGCTAGGAGCCTTAAACTCAAATTTGTCACCAGATTTTCCCTTTGATGTGTGAACAGTGTCACCATGTGGAGAAGAAACCTGCCATTTATGAGACAGTTTGATGGAGTAAGTTTCGGTAAAAATCTTGTGTTTGGTACAATTTAATGAATTTCTAAAGTTAACCAAGTGGGCATATATGCTTCAAAATACAACTGATGCGGCAAAAACAGTAAGACCATCATGTAGATGTTTTTAGAAATCACGCAGAAGAATATCATTACAGAGCTGTGTTTTTCTATGACATGCAAGTACATCTTGATAGCAAAAAAATAAAGAAATTTTAATAAATCAAATGACTAGTTGAAGAACAAGGAAGTTTCGTTCAAATTAGTTGCCCATATGACTAAAGGAGGTCGACTATTTCGAATCACTCACCAGGTAAATCAAATTGTTCAATGCGCAAATGCTAATAGGGGGGGGGTGGGGCAATGGGAATTCAGTTACAACAACAAACAAAATTTTAAATGGAAGGAAAAACCGGAAATGTTCAAAGTTAATTTGGACACTAAATGAGATTGCATATTTCAGTGACATTACAAATGACAAGGTAGCTGTTAGGCCGGTCCAACCTGGACCGGCCCAACCTGGACCGGCCAACAGTGACATTAAAAATGACAAGGTAACACACTACCTAACAGTCGAACAAAGTCAGCCAATAAGACTGTCCGAGAAGAAAAATCAGTAAAATGAATTTTCTTCAACCAACTATGCTGGTAGCAAATGTTACTTTATAACATTTACTAATCCCTCATAAATTTTGTTGGGCCTTCCGCTTTTCCTTTATCTTTTCAGGCAGGTCAAAGAAACTCTCATCTAGTTGAGACCTTAAATGTTTGCAGGAAAGGCCCCGATGCCATTCTAATTAATTTGAAAACGTTGCAACACCACCCTGCCCTACAACATGTTAAGTGCATACAATATCAATTTTGTGAATCACTAGTAACTACTATTTCGGTTCACATTACTACATTAGAATAGAACAAGTTCATAGCAATATAGAGGTATTCTTTAATTAGAAAATATAGATATTTGCAAAAATGTGCTGTATCATATCAGATACTTCTGGGTATTTGGTAAATTTAGATGCCACACAACTGCATCGGATAAACAATTGACGTAGCCATCTCTAATTTTCAAATAGAATATTTGAACACCGTATTTTATGGAAGTATTGAATTTGAAAACTTCAAAAAACAAAGTAATTTTACTTTTGAGGTGATATGTAAATTTAAGAAAATAGTAAAATCAACCTTGATACTTCATCTAAAATCGTCTTGAACGGGCAAGCATCTCAATGCATATTTTAATTAGAAGCTTCCATAATTAAATTCAAGACCATCCAAACTCTGACTTCAACAAACTTATACATGAACTAAATATCTTGACGAGACAAACCCAACAAGACATAAAGTGGTTCAATTCGAGTCTGAAAAAGCCTAGATCGAGCACTTGAAGTATGATTGACAACTTCAAAATATTATTTAGATGATTAAATAACTTCCAAATCTCGCATGCTCATAGCCAAGTCAAGCATTTCGATGAGAAGAATCCAACAAGTAGAATGCTTAATTTCGACAACATTAAGATGCTTAAATGCTGAATAAATGAATCAAAACAAAAAGTCCAATGGAGTGTTCCTAATTTTCTTCATACTTACGAGGCACCATCAGTACACTGCTGCCATTAGACCACTGCCTGACCATAGTCATCGGAAGATTGCCCGACCGCTTTCATTAAAATAATGCTCATCCTACATCGTCGCACCAATTTCATCGACTAAAGTCTTTTGACAACTATTACCTAGCGCCAGTCCTCGTCCAAATAGGATCCTTCGGCCAAATGTCGCATGACGACAACTCTCCAACCACCACAACTTTACAACGATACTCTGACCTCTGTAGCTCAACTATTGTCCTCCAACATTCACTCGACTATGTTTCTCTGACCTACATCATCCAGATACAATCCTCTGACTAGAGTTGCAGAATACAATCCTCTATCCATGATCGCTCGACTACAGTCTACAACCCTTCAAATTAACAATCCATTGATCATTATCGCCTGGTTACACCAACGCCCATTGAATTTATTACCGACGCCAATGCACGACATCATTTGTAAGATCGAAGAATGTTTTCTTAACTCCCAACATGAGCACTAGGATTTATGTTAGATTTCTTGGTATCTGGTTTTCCTTCCTTAAAGGAGACGAAAAACATAATAAATGATCTTTTCAAGACAACTATTATGCTACACAGCTAGAGGGCTTTTCCTACTTCCTACTTGGAATTCATTTTGTACAACTTATGTCTATATATTGTGCCAACACCTTTCCCAATCTCAGGATACAACGTCAATTGTAACCAATGACAAACACTAGTGAAATTATTTTAACTAAGATAAACACCATAATTTTTCTTTTTATGGATTTTCACATAAGATTCTAGTGTCTCTTATAACTCCTCTCTTATCTTTATATATATCGGATCTTTGTACAAAGCTAAGGAATTAAACTTTATCTCTTTATCATTACAAATATTCAGGCACAATAATTTGGCGTCGTCTGTGAGAGGTTGACAAGACATTGTTGGGTGATTGGTACTTCTACTCTTTCCTTAAACTATGATATCTTGTAAGGTTTGGCCAAGGGTTTTAATTTTAGTTTAAGCTTACCAACCAAGAGTTGCGACATAAAATTTCTTGAGCTACCACTATCCATCATAATGGTACATAATTTGCCTCCTATAGTACAAGTGGTTTGAAAGATTTTCGTCTAAACCATTTATCTCTGGCATCAATTTTGATAGTCAAGACCCGACAAATAACTAATTAATGATCCCCTTGATCACCTTCAACATTAATTGATTCCAACTCTTCCTCGTTTTCTTATTCCTCAATTTCAACATTAATTAATTTTAATTTAAGCTACACTCAAAGCTTTTCGAGCTTCTTGGATAGTTGTGCAAGCTCGGGTTCGTTTAAAACTCCAATGTTCGAGCTCAGCTCGTGTTTAGATTTAAGCTTGTTTAACTTCAAGCTTGTCGAGCCTCTTATCGAACGAGCTGACCACAATTCACAAAAATCTGTATTTGATTTAAATTTAGCCAAATAGCTCGTTGAGCGAGCTCGATAGAATACCTGCCCAACCCGCCAGCTGCCCGTTGTTCATCAAATGGCATGCACATATATTTGTTTTTATATAGCAACATCACTCATCTCCAGGGGGTATGGGACTAAACCCCCATAGTTTTTTTTTTTTTTTTTTTTGAGTTTCTTGATGCCCTGGAGGAGAGAGAGAGAGGGCGGGCAGGAGAATGAAAAAAATTCTCTATGCCCTGGAGGAGAGAGAGAGAGAGAGAGAGAGGGCGGACAGGAGAATAAAAAAAAAGCCATACATATAGAGAAAGAGGGCGGTAGAGAGAATGAAAAAAGTAAGAAATATTAAAATTTTAAAAAATATTTTTTAAATTTTGTTAAATAACTTGAGATATAATATTTAATTTTAAATTTAGTCAAATAAGATATAATGTGAGATATAAAATTTGTTAAATATTAAATTTAGTCAAATTAGATATAATATTTATTTTAAATTAAATGAGGAAAAAATCAAGCTTCTTAATGAGCATGTTCACGAGCTCTAAACTATATCATTTGTGAACATAAATGAGTGAACGCTGGGTTGTTCAAGATTGTTCATTTAGCAATCGAGTATTGTTAAACTTGTTCAAGCTTGTTCATTTACTTTATCAAACAGACATAAACGAGCTCCTATAGAGCCGAGTCACGAGTAGCTTGTCGAACGCTCAGTTCATTTACATCCCTAGCTTGAACTGAAACCTTTTAATAAATTTTGATCCATATCTTCTGTGCTTACATTCGAAATGAGCGCATTGACAAGAGAAATTCACTTAGCCCAATATCACTCAATTCCAATGCCGTTAAAGCATTTAAATGCCCAAGGAATAGTATCTGATCAAGGGAATAAGCATGGGTTGTCCATGAAGTGTTTTGGAGATATTTGTTAAAATTATTAAAATGTCGCTCCAAAATACTATAAGTACTCTCATTTTTTGAGAGTTTAGAGATATGAAACCCTAGAGCCATATCCAAATATTTATGTTGACAAAGATTGCCGGTGATCGTCAATACTCGATTGCAATTGCCTGACTACCAACATGGGACTCTCACCGTTCAATTGCAGTTACCTGATAGTAATTATTTAACCATCATTGCCGACCACTATTGTCAGATTGTCATCATCCCATTGCAATCATCTGATCTCCATATCTTGATCGTCTCATCACCACTTACTACTTCTTTAGCATTCTCTAATATAGCCCAAGAGATTAAACTAGTCTTCTAAACTTTATAATCCCATCTTCTCTAAGTGGGGGGAAGAGAGAGCTTCTGTTTTTGCCAGCGGTAAGCCATGTGTTTTTTCTTTTCTTATCAAAATTTTCATATAAAAGCTCAAGTGAGCCCTATGAGCATATCTTTTATCGATGTGTGTAGGATCTTCATACAAAAAAAAAAAATGTAAAACTCTCACTTTACAGCTGCAAGTATTTTGGCATGCAAGAAGAATAAAGAATTATTACGGGAGGTTGACAAGAAATGGGTAGATAAAAGAGAAACAAGAATAGATGTTGTGCGATAACACCTAATGCTGCAGTCAATGAGAATTAATGGCGAAGGAGGCTTATAAAATTGAACTCACAAAGTTGAGATAAGGTTGAAGGTGATTATGAAAAAGCTAGTACCTTGCTTTCATTCAAGACAAACAATATGTAATAGTATCTAATAAAATAGTAAATTATAGAGAAATTTATAAACAGTTTTTATAACTTACAAACTACGAAAAAATCTATGAATGTAATGAGTTGTTATGTATTAGTATGTGATGATGTTTTAATTATGCTTGCTTATATGCATTAACCTATTTGAATCCTACAATGCTTAAAACTTGTAAGCACATGTCTGTGTATTATTTATGCTTGATTAGCACTGTTGAATTTGACCTACATGCAAGAAAGGGAATGCTCATGGAATAGCGTGGCGTGTCAAATTCTACCAGAACTGACCTTGCCACTGAACTTACATTATTGCCTTCATTTGAATCAAAGGGCCATCCATTTCTTAGTTGCCAACAAAGTACTTGCTATTGAAGGCAGTTTTCCTGATCATTTTTTCGCATGAATTAAGAATATTCATACTTCTGAAGTCAATTTATCATCAATTATCAGCCTGGCAGCAGGTTGTTCAATTGATACAATTCTGCAAAAATAATGCAACTAGACTTCATACAGATGTAGCACAAACAAGTAACATTTATAGATTTCCTGGAGCTGTCGGAGCCAATTAGATTGTGGATGCAAACTAACAAAGCTTAATGATTAATCTTCTTCGGTTCATACTCATACCACTGAGCTTACTGATGAAGTATGCTAGTTAAAAACTCAGGCTTCATTTGGGGCGGCTTTCTTACTTATTCTTAAAGCAGCTTTTTTAAGAATCAGTAAGAAAGCCGCCCCAAACGAAGCTTTAACGATGAAGTATGCAAGTTGAAGGTTTAGTATTTCGGTCCTGTGACAGTAAAACAAGGTTTTTTAGCCCTGAAAAATATATTTATTTGTTAAATCCGGTATTAATTGACAATATTAGTGCATACAGGAAGTTCCCCAGAATAAATTGACCTATGTCGTCCAGAAAAAATCAAAAGAAAACACAAGAAATGGACTCCCAAGCTCTACCGCCATCCCGCTATCCCCTCAGTAGTTCATCCCTTTCAAAATCCTCCCACCGCACTGGTAATCAGTCATAAATAATTAAAAAGATGAGAGCAACCAAAACACCACCTTTTTGCCGGTTATGAAATAGCAAACGTCCGTTTTTCCGTAGAATTTCATCGATCAAGATTAAAACTTTATATGATGCAAGAAAAAAGTCCTCTTCATGGACAAATAACAAATTGAAATCCCAATCCGAGTCAGATAAATAGAAAAAAAAAACCCTTCAAATTGATCAATTAAAAGACGAAACAGTATCACACTGATCAGAAAAGCAGAAAATCCAAAACGAATAATACTTGGTGGATAGAAGCGGCATAGAGGGTGCTTACAATTAAATCTACGCCTGGGTGGTCCGAACCCCAGAAAATATTGTGATCGACGACGACAAAGTTACCCGAGACTAGATCGCCTTCGAAGTGCACGAATTCGTAAACGCACTCCACTTCGTGAACGGTAAGAGCGAGCCCAGAGAGGCGGAGAGGGAGCACAAGGAGGAGAACTACCCAGATGAACGCCGCCGCTGATCCGTTCGATGCCTTCCTTCGCTCCATCGAGATGGAGCCGATCTTAAAACCCGTGAGGCCTACAAACATTCTATTCTTGAGTGTAGAGTTTTAGCTGAGTCAAGTTGACTCGTGAGTTTCCTTGAGATCAGCAAGATAAATGCCTCGTGAGCCGAATTTGATGAGTTAATAATCAAGTTTAAATCAGCATCAACTCAATTCGTTAATTTGTAAGCCAGCTCAATCAAAAAATATTAATATAAAATATATTTAAAATATATTATGATTCTTGATTTTATATACAAAGTTATTAAAAAATATTTAAAAAGTATATCTCACTATCTTATATTAAGTGATTCTTTATTAGTTTTATAATTTCTCATTATTTTTTATTATTTTATTAAAATAATTACTTAAATCATAATCATTTTCTCTGTTTTATAACAAATAAGCCTGCTCGTTAGTGGCTCAAACTCGTAAAATAAAGCTTGGGTTTGAGCATGAACCCAATTAATTAATCAAATTTAATTTAAATCAGAGATTACTCAAGCTCCGCTTAACACATTTACACTCTTATTTGCACATACCCTTTATTAATTCATTCTTTTGGCGATGCAACCATTATAGCAATCTATAACTTATATGTAGATATTGACACTAATATGATGTCTTGCAGAATAAACATAATCTAAAACTCGTTCGAGTAAGGCAAATGGTAAAGCTCAGACTCAATTGATTAATTAATTGAGTCTGAGCTCGAACTTGAGCTTTATTCAATAAGTTTGAGCCGGTTCACGAGCCAGCTCGTTTATCATGAAAGAAAGAAAATAATTATGATTTAAGCAACTATAATAATAACATAGTAACATAAAATGAGAAATCATAAGAAAAATAATAAATAATCACTTAATATAAGAAAGTGAGATATAATTTTCAAATATTTTGAACAATTTTGTACTTAAAATCTTGAATTTTAATATATTTTAAATATGTTTTTTAAATGAGCTGGCTCGCGAGCTAACAAATAGAGTCAAGGCTAGCTCAAGCTTGCCTTGTTAGCTCATCTAGTTTGGCTCATGAGTTGCTTGACTCGCTTACACCCTAACAAACACAAGTTGCGTTTGGGTTGGTAGTTGTAGGAAGACAAGCTGGCGGGCTCGGGTCGTAAATGCAAGACAGCAACAGGAGAGTTGATTGTACAAACCTAGAAGCGAAACAAACTAAAGGCCATGACCTGGGAGGCAAACCAAGGTTTGGAATGGGAGCAATCCCACAAGTTGGGGTTAGACTTGGACGAGCGGCTTTGTCGTACAGTTGGCACTAGACACGGGCGAGCAGGGGGTTTAGGTCAGGTCAGAAGCTCACAGAACAAGCGCTGCATAAGGCACAAGGGTGCATATTGTGGGAGTAACAATGATGGTGCGCGAGCTTTAGAATGCGCGGGAGCCCGATTTGAGGTCGTGGATCAGAACGCATAATGGAGGCATGTCAAGAGCAAGATTGGGCTTAGGTTGGCATGTTTGCTCATGGAGTTCATGCAGGGAGTCGGTCGGGTCGCAGCAGATGCAGGTTCAAGCAAGTAGGTGGAGGAGAAGTAGGCCATCCGGTGGAGACTCTCCTTAGGTAGTTCTTGATGGAAGCAGGTGGAGCAGTTGATCTCTATCAAGGCAGGGAAGCAAAAAGATCAGCCACAAGGTGGAGGTGCAACTGCCAGGAGGTGATCGGTGGAAAATAGAGCAAGGTGTTGTCATTGCAGCAAGGAGAGGCAACCAGCGGTGAAGATTTTTTTTTTTTAATTTATTGTAAAATTGGATCAAGATAAAGATTATTAAAATTTGATCCAATTTAAAGTTATGCTTGTTCTGCAATATCAATGTCAATATCTATATATAGGTTTATAAGTTGATGTAAGGGATGTATCCCAAAAGAATGAACTAATAAAAGCTATGTGCTCTCTCCCTCCATTCCCTCTTCATTCTCCCCTCCCTCTCTCCCTCTCTCCCTCTACATTCAACAAACCTTCCTTTCTCCAAAAAAATCTCAACAACTATATCTGAAAAGCATTTTGCATTCGTCTTCCTATAGTCCTGGCTCGACTACTTTCCAGCCTTGGTCAAGTTTGCCATGCTTTTGCTAAGAGGTCATGAGGCGAGTTCACATTGTGTATGAATTTGGAATTTGCCTAAATCTATTGCATTCCAAATTCATTATATATAAAAAAGAACTGATAGAAATATTCAAAACTACTTCAAAAGATATCTTAAATTTATTTACTATCAGCTAAACATTTGAAATACAGCACACTCTGGAATCAAACAACCCCATAAGCATAACCATTCGCATCAGCTTCTTCAGGAAAGGCAAAATAAACAACTTTTATTCAAATAAACCGCAGCAAAACTTGTTCTTGATGGTATAGACTATATCAACCTGATCTCCTTAAATCTCATATTACGCACATAAATTCTGGAAGAGATAGTGAAAACTTCTACATTGTTTAGAGATCTGACTGATTTTATGCATTGTTAACTTTTGCAGGAGTGTTTGCATATTTCCAGGAGATTGACTCAAATGAGCCCCAGGTCCTTGAACCAACAACCTCGTGAGCAGGGACCGCATTAGAAAGTTCTTCCAAATCATCTTCTGTAAGCTTCACGTTTATAGAACCAATGTTGCTGTTTAGATTCTTGATCTTTGTTGTTCCTGAAAGCAAAATAGAAAAACAAGTGAGCAATTTTTGCAGCAGTTGAATTCAATAGACAAAGAGATCAAGTAGTAGTTTGCTCTTGCTCTTTCAAATGAGAGATTATAGATGGCAGAAAAAATATAGTTTGGACTCATGATTTCCAAGTTCACTATCATTACCAATCGGGTGTTAAATGTTCGAATTATTTTCCTTATTAAAATAATGTATAAGAAGTACAAGGGTGGAGAGACACAGAGAAAGATGATCATTGAGAACTAGCCAACATTTTCTAAAGCCCAATTTGGTATAATTTTTTGTTTTGTTTTTAATAAAAAAATAATCTAAAACTGTATGCAAGATTTCATTATAACTTCAAGAGTGAATGCAAAATATTTATGAAGCAGGTTGTCCACCTATATGACAATGTGATAGTTTTATTTCATAGACAGTTATAAGGGAGAGAATTACTTGTAATGAATGGGGTACAAGAAAGAAAACTATTTATTTAGGCCCAAGAGGGCTGATCATGATGTCGACGTCTATCTCTCTCTCAATGACGCACCTCGATGGTGTTGAGCTTTTTTGAAGCAAGGAGTAAAACTTATGTAGTGGATCGTTGGGAGAATAGAGGTGCAAACAAAACTAGAGAACAAATACTAAACTCAAAGCAATACCATATATTCTTTATCTCCTCCTTACATCTAATCCTAACTATTTATAATGCAAATAAAACATTCTAGAAATTAAAGATATATTCCTAAGCTCTATTATAACTAAGATGTTCCATATCATCCATCTTATGCACGGTCATTTTAGATATCTTTAACAAATTATTTAATATAATATCTCCAAAATTTCAGTATAATTTATACCATGTTTTCATCACTATATCATCATAAACGTTTGATATAGTGGTTTGAGTTCTGCTAAGTATGGACAAAAGAAATGTAAGTGTTATATGGAATCTCACCTGGGATTGGAACAACATCATTTCCTTGATGAAGGATCCAAGCCAAAGCTAATTGAGCTGTTGAGCAATGGTGCTTTGCAGCCAGTTTTTCCAACCTGAAGTATATGATCTTATTTTTCTTTAGATTATCTTCATTGAATCTTGGATGTGAGGCCTGGAATAAAAGCAGCTTCAGTAATATGATGAACATGAACTCATTAAAATAAGTGCATTATAATTTCGACTACTTGCAATAATATAAAAGAAACAATTAAATCAAAACTATACCAATGAACTATTTGCAGGCACACTATCAAGGACTGCTCTACCACCGAAAAAGCCGCGGCCAAGAGGGCTATATGGTACTATTCCAATTCCAAGTTCTCTACAAAGTGGAGAAGAAGATGTGCATTTAAATACAGATGCAAGCCAAAGCATCCTCTGTAAGGTAGGGATCCATGCTAATATACTACGTTTATCACATTCTTGAAAAAAATAAAATCAAACAAAATGTGGACAGTTAAGCTATGAAAAAAAATTGAGAAATAAAATCTTAAACTCTAACATTTTAGGGTCTTGTGAACATCAATCATTGCAGGAAATTCATCAAATACCCGCGGCATTTCCGGTGGCTAAATAATCGCCGGAATCACAAGCGGTATGACCGTAGGTAATAAGCGGCAGTTATACATGTGGTTTGACTATTGGAATTTCCGACAGTCATTTTGCTGCCCACAATGCCGCCGGAATTTTATATGTACGACACAGTTACCGGTGGTTTTACCGCCGGAATTCTTAAGAAGGCTAATAAAAGTGGCCAAACCTGCAAAGTGGGATTATCTCTTCCTCAATATCTCTAGTCCAAAGAGACCATTCTATTTGCAACGCACTAATTGGGTGAACAACGTGTGCTCGTCTGATTGTATCTGCGCTTGCTTCTGACAGACCAACATACTTCACCTTACCCTCCTCAACCAACTTCTTAAGCTCCCCAATCTACAATAGTAGATTACTATAATCTAAGAACACTATAAAAAATTAAAGAGTTGCAACATTCAAAAGAATTTAATGGTTGATTAGTAGTCTCACTGTTTCTTCAATTGGCACAGTTTGATCAATCCGGTGCTGATAATACAGATCGATGTAATCCAATCCAAGCCGCTTGAGACTTCCTTCCAAGCAAGCTCTCACATACTCTGGTTTACCATTTACGATAGGATTGCCTCCTTGATTAAGCTCTACAATCCCAAACTTTGTGGCCAACTGAATCTTCTCCCGTGGAAGTTCCTTCAATGCCTGCAATCATACAATTTCTTCAATAATCATAATAATAATATCACAACCTTTTAAACCAACAAATTTACTCCTCTTCAAATCTGTCATGTATACTTATTAAGAAACAAGTTGATTACGAAAGCCATAAGAAGAGAAGGGGATTTAATACAGACCTTGCCAAGCAGGATTTCATTAGTATGAGGTCCATAAACATCGGAGGTGTCAAAAAAGGTGATGCCTTTGTTAAAAGCTTCCTTGATGATGGATATGCCCTCTTCTTCATAAATCGGAGAACTATACGTTCCAGTGAGACCCATACAGCCAAACCCTAATTTGGATACCTAAATTAGGAGAAATAAATAATCAGAAATCAATCAAGACATCTTGATAACAATGCATGAAAAAACCATACATAAACAAGGCTTAAGGTGTTGTTCTCTTTATCATTGACGAAGCTTTTTCCTCAAATGAGGTTGAAAAATGCGCAAAATAGAACACATTACAAAATTCAAGAATTTGAACTAAGAACTGCAAGAACTCCAAAACCAATTCAGAACACAAACTAAAATTTTGCAAAAAAAATTAAGAACTTTGAAGAATGAGTTTGTTACCTCTAATCCCTGGGATCCCAGCTTCATTCTGGGTATCAAAATTTCGTTTTGCTCTCCCATTTCTTCTCTATCTGAATCCCCAGCGACCAAAAATCTAGTTTTTCTCCCTCTCGCCCGTATTTTAGTAGCTTCTTGCGTTGCAGACAAGCGATCGTAGCCGGGCCTTCAATTTAAAGCAAAGTGTCCGGATCTGATAACCGCAAGTGAGCTTACTCTCCAGTTTGCAAACTCACTCGAGTCACTCTTGTCTAGCAACGCACTTGGGAATGGTGAGGTCAGCCAATGCATCATCTATAAGAAATATTACTGAAATTTGGTTTTTTTTTTTTTTTTAATTTTTTTATTTTACTAAAAGGGTAGGTCCTACTTTTACATTACATATCCGCTGACGTAATTAATATATATCTCAATTAAATTTAGATTAATATGTGACCCACTGATCCTTAGTTTGATTGGTTGGTGGGCAAGTAAGATTGGTTGTTTTTTAATCTGTGCTCGATTCTCTTCGAGCAGCAGCATCTTTTAAATGAGGGCCAATCAAGTGCGACCATGAGGCTTCTGGGGTAGGTGCCTCTTCTAGATCAGCCGATAATTAGTCACGCCGCCAAGTGCCCATCCGGGTATGACAGTGGATGGATATCTCGTTCCAAAAAAATAGGATTAATATATGATGCCAAATTTATAACTTTTTTTTTATGAATTACTATGTTAAGAAAATGAAATTTAGGTTTCGTTTGGAAATTAGGGAGTGTTCAAATACACACATATAAGCTAGATTCAAATTCTAGGCCTCTTAATTAAGAGCTAAACTCACAAGTCACAACCAACAAATCAAGGAAAGCTGCGTACAAATACACTTTTAAGTATGTTCCTATTTTAATTAAAATTAACAAGAAAAAAAAATAAAATACAAAGAAAACAAGATCCAATCACTCATTTGTTAGATTTAGGATTTATTTGAGATGATTATAATTTTTTAAAAAATAGCTATGAAATGACTATGAGGAAATTAACTTAGGTTTTCTTTGAAATAACTTGTTAAACAAGTTTTTTAGTACAAAATTTTTTAATTTAAAAAATTGTACTAAAAAGGTACATTAAAAAGCTATCTCACACAAAATATTAATCAATTTTGTTATAAAAAGTAGCTTTTCATCGTATTTTTTTTAAATAGCATGAAAGTAATAAACCAAAAGTATAAAAATAAATTTATAATTTATCTGAAAAATAAAACAGTTAATAAGCTATCTCAAGCAAACCTAAGAAAAATAACTATGAATGCATGAAATTCACGTCAAGTAGGCTATTTAAACTAAAGTAATTATATAATAACATAAATAGTTTTTTTTTTTGGACCATCGCAGCTACTTCGTTTGGACCATCGCAGCTACTTCAAGCATTATGAGGGTTTGGGACACCATGGCAAGAGATGAAGGCTTTGTTTGGGACGGTTTTTTTACTACTTCTTAAAGCAGCTTTCTAGTTTAAAAATTAATTTCTTTATATTATAAAGCTATTTTAAAAAGGAGTAAGAAAGCCGTCCCAAATGAAACCGAAGTTTCGTTGGTCGCCGCGTCCACCTTTTTGGTGGCGGGTTGCCGAAGTTTTGCTGTGGGAGATGAAGGTATTGCTGACAGTGAGGGCGAGGTTGCATTATTTGATTTAAGAAACCTTGCATTGAGTGAAGGTGGGTCGCCTGGCGGCGAAGCTTTTGGCTCCTGGCTCCTCTCTTAGAGAAGGCATAAATTCCACTTGCACGTACTTCATAGGCATAGCAGGCCATTCGCGGGGCGAATTATTACGTCCGGTCACCGGACGTCTGGACATCCAATCCAGACGTGCCATGTCACCCAAATACATCCGGACCTGGTGCATTTGGGTGACGTGGTGCGTTTGGATTGATGTCCAGACGAATCCGAACACCGGACGTAATAATCCGCCCGTACTTCGTAGGCATAGCAGGCCATTCGCGAAGCTTGCAAAGGAGGAGCAGCGGCTGCTTTTATATTCAATGGAGCATTTCATGCATACACAACATCTCTTCCTTGGTCAGCATGAAGGGAGAACTTCTCCCTTCTCTATACAACCTCACGCTCGGTAACAATGCACTAGGATTTATATTATTTTTTTTCTTGGAAGGGAGCACTTTTTAACAGAACAAAAAGAAAAAAAAAATGTAGAAAACAGGAACACTAAATTTTCTTCAATAGAGAGGAGATAGACGCTAAAACTTTTCAAATTTTCCATAACATTTTCAACTACACACTAAGAACATTTTTAGGCTTTAAAATAACCCACAATTCCAATGGTTACATAAAAACAGCCCACTATTCCCAGTACAGTTATATGAAATAGCCCACTATTTCTATTGTTACATAAAAACAACCCACTACTCCATTTACAGCCACTATCTCAAGTTGGTTACCTGTATTATCCGGATGGTTGAGTTTATCAACAAATTCCTCCTCCATCCTTCATGCCAATTATCATTTTGTATTTTTCTAAAAATATTGTGGATAACGGATTTGTACTTGATCATGACTCACAATCTAACTCATTATCGTGCTTCCTTCCTTCCTTTGTGTGTTCTTGGATGAAGTGAAACTTGATATCGATTTACTTGCTTCTTTCATGATGTACTAGATTCCTTACTAACTCGATTGCAGATTTGCTATCAACACGAATCTCGGAAGCCTCTATTTGTTGGAGATTCAATTCGTGGAGCTGATTCCTTAGCCAAACTGCGTGACACCCACAAAATGATGCTTCCACGTATTTTGCTTCAAATATTAAAAGTGTCACGTTCGGTTGTTTTTTTGATAGCAATGTAAATGCCATTTTTCCCAAAAAAAAAACATGTGCCCCGATGTACTCTTTCGATCATCTGTGTCTCTGCACCAATCGCTATCGGAGTAACCCACCAATCTATATTCCTTTGTCTTCGAGTAAAATAATATTAGTGATTATGTTCCTCAGATATATCATAGAACTTTCTTTAGCACCTTCCAATGCGTGTAGATCGGCTCTACCAAGAACCAACTTATCACTCCAATGTTGTAGGATATGTCTGGCCTTGTGCATGTGAGATAACCACCAAGCTTCAATATTTTGTTGCATCGACTTGATCTCCACTATCAAACCTTAGGAGTTTAGCACCTGGTTCCATCGGTGTCGTTATTGGATAACTATTTTCCATCTTTTTCTTCTTTAGAATATCTTTTGAGTATGATTCTTGTGATAAAAAAATTCCCGACTTTTCTTATCTAACTTTCAGACCAAGAAAATATTTCATCAATCCCAAATCTGTCTTCTCGAATTCTTGTTTCATCTTGCATTTGAATTTTTCAATCATCTCGTCGTTATTTCTCACAAGCTAACAAATAGAGTCAGAGATGGCTCAAGCTTGCCTCGTTAGCTCATTGAGCTTGGCTCACGAGTTGCTTGACTGTGTCGAACCAAGGAGGCGAACCAAGGTTTGGAATGAGAGAAGTCCCACAAGTTGGGATCGAACCTGGACAGGCGGCTGTGTTGCACAATTGGCACTGGGCATGGGCGAGCAGGGGGTCGAGTTCAGGTCAAAAGATCACAGAACAAGCGCTGCGTAGGGCACGAGGGTGTGAAATGTGGGAGGAACAGCGATGGGCGCAGACGCGTGTGATTTAGAACGCACGGGAGCACGAGATGAGGCCGTGGATCAGAACGCACAATGGAGGCCTAGCACGAGCAAGATTGGCCTCGGGTTAGTATGTTTGCTTATGGAGTTCGTGCAGGGAGCCGGTCGGGTCGCAACACTCGGTCAAGGCAGGGAAGCAAAAAGATTAGCCGCAAGGTGGAGGTGCAGCTACCAGGACACGATCGGTGGAAAGTAGAGCAAGGTGTTGTCACTGCAGCAAGGAGAGGCAACCTGCTGGGAAGATTGTTTTTGTTACTCATTGTAAAATTGGACCAATATAAACATTGTTAGGATTTGATTCAATTTAAAGTTATGTTAGTTCTGCAAGACATCATATCAATGTCAATATCCATATATAGATTTATAAGTTGATGTAATGGATATATCCCCAAAAGAACGAATTAATAAAAGCTGTATGCTCTCTCCCTCCATTCCCTCTTCATTCTCCCCTCCCTCTCTCCCTCTACATTAAAGAAACCTTCCTTCCTCCAAAAAATCCCAACAACTATATCTCGAAAGCATTCTGCATTCGTCTTCCCATAGGCCTGGCTCGACTACTTTCAAGCCTTTATCAAGTTTGCCATGCTTTTGCCAAGAGGTCATGAAGGCGATGTCGCATTTTGCTATGAATTTGGAATTTGCCAGAATCTATTGCATTCCAAATTCATTATAAAAAAAGAACTGATTGAAATATTCAAAACTACTTTAAAAGATATCTTAAATTTATTTACTCTCAGCTAAACATTTGTAATACAGCACACTCTGCAATCAAACAACCCCATAACCATAACCATTCGCATCAGCTTCTTGGAAAGGCAAAATAAACAACTTTTATTCAAATAAACCGCAGCAAAACTTGTTCTTGATAGTATAGACTATATTGACCTGATCTCCTTAAATCTCATATTACGCGCATAAATTCTGGCAGAGAAAGTGAAAACTTCTTCATTGTTTAGAGATCTGACTAATTTTATGCATTGTTAACTTTTGCAGGAGTGTTTGCATATTTCCAGGAGATTGATTCAAATGAGCCCAAGGTCCTTGAACCAGCAACCTCGTGAGCAGGGACCGCATTTGAAAGTTCTTCCAAATCATCTTCTGTAAGCTTCACATTTACAGAACCAATGTTGCTGTTTAGATTCTTGATCTTTGTTGTCCCTGAAAGCAAAATAGAAAAACAAGTGAGCAATTTTTGCAGCAGTTGAATTCAATAGATAAAGAGATCAAGTAGTAGTTTGCTCTTGCTCTTTCAAATGAGAGATTAGAGGGTTCAGATGGTAGAAAAATTATAGTTTGGATTCATTATTTCCAAGTTCACTATCATTACCAATCAGGTCTTATATGTTCGAATTATTTTCTTTATTAAAATAATGTATAAGAAGGATTAGGGTGGAGAGACACAGAGAAAGATGATCATTTGAGAACCAGCCAACATTTTCTAAAGCCCAATTTGGTAAATTTTTTTGTATGTTATTTTTTTTAATATAAAAAAATAATCTAAAACTGCACGCAAGATTTCATTATAACTTCAAGAGTGAATGTAAAATATTTATGAAGCAGGTTGTCCACCTATATGACAATATGATAATTTTATTTCATAGACAGTTATAAGAAGGGAGAGAATTACTTGTAATGAATGGCATACAAGAAAGAAAACTATTTATTTAGGCCAAGGAGGGCTGATTATGATGTCTACATCTATCTCTCTCCAATGATGCGCCTCGATGGAGTTGAGCTCTTCCGATGCAAGAGGAGTAAAACTTATGCAGTGGATCGTTGGTAGAATGGAGCAAACAAAACTAGAGAACAAATACTAAACTCAAAGCAATATCATATATTCTTTATCTCTTCATTACACCTAATCCTAGCTATTTATAAAGCAAATAGAACATTCTATAAATTAAAGATATAGTATGCCTAAGATCTATCATAATTAAGATGTTCCACATCATCCATCTTATGCACGGTCATTTTAGATATCTATAACTAATTATTTAATATAATATCTCCAAAATTTCAGTATAATTTATACCATGTTTCATCACCATATTATCATAAATGTTTGGCATAGTGGTTTGAGTTCTACTAAGTATGGACAAAAGAAATGTAAGTGTTAAATGGAATCTCACCTGGGATTGGAACAACATCATTTCCTTGATGAAGGATCCAAGCCAAAGCTAATTGAGCTGTTGAGCATTGGTGCTTTGCAGCCAGTTTTTCTAACCTGAAGTATAGTATCTTATTTTTCTTTAGATTGTCTTCACTGAATCTTGGATGTGAGGCCTGGAATAAAAGCTTCTTCAGTAATATGATGAACTTGAACTCAATAAAATAAGTGCATTATAATTTCGACTACTTGCAATAATATAAAAGAAACAAATTAAATCAAAACTATACCAATGAACTATTTGCAGGCACACTTTCAAGGACTGCTCTACCACCGAAAAAGCCGCAGCCAAGAGGGCTATATGGTACTATTCCGATTCCAAGTTCTCTACAAAGTGGAGAAGAAGATGTGCATTTAAATACAGATGCATGCCAAAGTATCCTCTGTAAGGTAGGGTCCATGCTAATATACTGTGTTTATGACATTCTTGAACAAAATAAAATCAAACAAAAGGCGGGCAGTTAAGCTATGGAAAAAAATTGAGAAATAAAAGTTTATACTCTAACATTTGAGAGTTTTGTGAACATCAATTACTGCAAGAAATTCATCAAATATCCGCGGCATTTCCGGTGGCCAAATAATCGTCGGAATCACCGGCGGTATAATCTCAGGTAATAAGCGGCGGTTATACCGGCGGTTTGACTGCAGGAATTTCCGATAGTCATTTTGCCTCCCACAATGCCGCCAGAATTTTATATGTACGACACAGTTACCGGTGGTTTTACCACCGGAATTCTTAAGAAGACTAATAAAAGTGGCCAAACCTGCAAAGTGGGATTATCTCTTCCTCAATATCTCTAGTCCAAAGAGACCATTCTATTTGCAACGCACTAATTGGGTGAACAGCGTGTGCTCGTCTGATTGTATCTGCGCTTGCTTCTGACAACCCAACATACTTCACCTTACCCTCCTCAACCAACTTCTTAAGCTCCTCAATCTACAAAAGTAGATAACAATAATCTAAGTACAGTACAAAAAATTAAAGAGTTGCAACATTCAAAAGAATTTAATGTTTGATTAGTAGTCTCACTGTTTCTTCAATTGGCACAGTTTGATCAATCCGGTGCTGATAATACAGATCGATGTAATCCAATCCAAGCCGCTTGAGACTTCGTTCCAAGCAAGCTCTCACATACTCTGGCTTACCATTTATGATAGGATTGCCTCCTTGATTAAGCTCTACAATCCCAAACTTTGTGGCCAACTGAATCTTCTCCCGTGGAAGTTCTTTCAATGCCTGCAATCATACAATTTCTTCAATAATAATAATAATAATAATAATAATAATAATATCACAACTTTATAAACCAACAAATTTACTCTTCAAATCTGTCATGTATACTTATTAAGGAACAAGTTAATTACGAAAGACATAAGAAGAGAAGGGGGTTTAAAACAGACCTTGCCAAGCAGGATTTCGTTAGTATGAGGTCCATAAACATCGGAGGTGTCAAAAAAGGTGATGCCTTTGTTAAAAGCTTCCTTGATGATGGAGATGCCCTCTTCCTCAGAAATCGGAGAACTATACGTTGCAGTGAGACCAAAACAGCCAAATCCTAATTTGGATACCTAAATCAGGAGAAATAAATAATCAGAAATCAATCAAGACATCTTGATAACAATGCATGACAAAACCAATATACATAAACAAGGCTTAAGGTGGCGTTCTCTTTATCAATGACGAAGCTTTTTCCTCAAATGAAGTTGAAAAATGCGCAAAATAGAACACATTACAATATTCAAGAATTCGAACTAAGAACTGCAAGAATTCCGAGACCAATTAAGAACAAAAACTAAAATTTTGAAAAAAAAAAAATTGAGAACTTCAAAGAATGAGTTTGTTACCTCTAATCCCTGGGATCCCAGCTTCACTCTGGGTATCAAAATTTCGTTTTGCTCTCCCATTTCTTCTCTATCTGAATCCCAAGCCACAAAAAATCAAGCTTTTCTTCCTCTCGCCCGTATTTTAGGTGCTTCTTGCGTTGCAGGCAAGCGAAGTGTCTGGATCTGATAACCGCAAGTGAGCTTACTATCCAGTTTTAAACCTCAATCTTGTCTACTAGCGACACACTTGGGATCGGTGAGGTCAGCCCATGCATTATCTATAAGAAATATTACTAAAATTTTGTTTCGTTTTTTTTTTTTTTACTAAAAGGACCGGGTCCCACTTTTACATTACCTATGACCTGACGTGTTTAATAATTAATATTTGATCTCACTTCAATTGAGAATAATATATGATTCGAATTTAGAACTGAAAATATTTTTGTTTGATGAATTAATATGGTAAAAAAAAATGAAAGTTAGGTTTTGTTTCGGATGATTTCCTTATTAATTTTTAAAATAATTTTTTGATAGATAATTTTTTGTTTAAATTTTTTTTTATTAAAAAATTGCTTTAAAAATTTAAAAAAAAAAAGTCATTTTTTGTCACTATTTTTAATGCAATTTTTTTACCATTATTTTTTGATAATTTATATCATAATTCATTTCTATTATGAATATTGTCACATTATCTTACTTAAGAGGATAAATATTTATGATAAAAAAATATATTTGATCCTATTTTTTGTTATTTTAATTAAAAATAAAAACTTAAATTGTAATATTTTAAATTTTTAAAAATGATATATTAGATGTTTCCTCTATTTTTTGAATTATCATAATTAGATGTTCAAACTATGAATGATATATTAGATGTTTCCTCTATTTTTTGAATTATCATAATTAGATGTTCAAACCATAGTTTAGATTACCAAACAGTTTCTAAACATGACATGCTTATAGTCGAATTGAGCGACTCGATGAGACAAATCCAACGAACCTGAATCACCAATTTTGATATCATGAAGACATTTAAATGCTCAATAAACAGTCAATGATCAAGGGATTCAACACCTGTTGTCCATCAAAACCACTCCCAATTTACGCTTTATCTTCCTCCTATTTATGAGTCATGTTATTCTCAGAAAATATATAAATATACCCCTCACTTTTCATGAAAAGGGACCCCCAAGCAAGAAAGCAATAATATATAAATACAACCTACCACAAACTATTGCATCTTAATGGAACCAATTGTATTGCCTTAAGAAAAATGTTATGTTGGTCAAGTTTAAACTAATATTGAGGCCTCTCTCTCCATATCACCTATATCCTATATACTCTTGTTATAGATGATATTCTATTCATTATGAATGGCTAAGACATTCCCTCTGTATTACATATATTATCATATATGCTCAGTATTTACAATAAAAATATGCAACAAATATTATAATATATCTTCATTATTAATAACCTTCAATTTTATTATTATTTTTTTATCAGAAAACTTTCATAATAATCCCTAGACTATTCGTGTATGGCAAATTTAATTCCAAAGTATCAATTTAATCCCTAAACTATGCAAAATTAATCTAAAACAATCTCTCTTATTATAATTTTGAATTTTGATATAAAATTGATCTCAATTTAGTCTATTGACTTTACAAAATTGATCCAAATTTGATCCAAGAGGGACCATTTTGTATCAATCTGGTTGAGGGATTAAATTGAAATAACATTATATTCTGGGACTAAAATAAACACATACAAATAGATGAAGGACAATTTGAAATTAAACACATTTTTCTATTGCACTATCCTCTTGCCTAGGTAACAATTTTCTTTGATATTACTTCTTTCGTAAGTATAATTCTAAGCACATCTCTCTCTATCAATAAAATAAAAAATCTCATAAATTTTCATTTATTATGCTCATTTGAGAGTTTATTCAAGAATTATCCTTGATACAAGACTACATCCGCCTCAAGACATTCCATACAGAATAAAGATGATGTGAGAAACTCAGAATGCAATAGTTTCATCCCATCTCTCTAAGATTTCGTTTGAGACGGTTTTCTTACTGCTTTTTAAAGTAATCTTTTAGCACATAATTTTTAATTTTATACTAAAAAACTGTTTTAAAAAACAGTAAAAAAGTTGTCCCAAACAAAATCTAAATCTAATACAATGCAGAGAAATAGTACCAGAGAAGGTGAAAGGCCGGTGCTTTGTTTGGGAATTTGATCGATTTTATGCATCCCTAGCTTTTGCAGGCGTATTTGCATACTTCCATGAGATTGATTCCATGTAACCCCAATTATTTGAACCAGCAACCTCTTGGATTGAGATTGCATTTGAAAGTTCTTTCAAGTCATCTTCTGTCAGTTTCACATTTAAAGAGCCAATGTTGCTGCTCAGATTCTTGCTCTTTGTTGTCCCTGAAAGTAAAATAAGATACTTCACAAAAATTTTTTGATAACATTCTTTAATTTATTGCCATATTGATCAGGAGATCAACTAGTAATTAGCAGTTGTTTAAATGATAGGTTAGAGGGTCAAGGATGCACTAAAAAAAATCCAGCATTATAGTAAAAATTTTCATAATATGTTGGAATGTTTTCGTTGAGTTTAAGTAAACCAGCGCAATTTACACCGTGATTTTGCCGGTAATTTCGGACGGACAATGGGCCGGAATATTTTATGTACAGGCGATATAGCCGGCGGAATATGCGCTGGTAAAGTAAAGACGATAAATATGCAGGAAATTTACAGGAAAAATATCCGCCGCTTTTTCCGGCGAATGTCCATCCACCGGAAAGTCCACGGTAATATATGCTCGAGCAACAATGTGGTAGTACTACAATTGGACCAAGTGAAGCTCAGAGAAAGGAGAAAACTATTTATATGAACAAATCAATATGAAAGAAACTGTTCCTTCTGCAATGCACAAAACATTTTAAACATAATCATATATTTTATCATATGAAAGGATGTAATAATAGCTTATCGAAGACTTGAGGGACTTCATTGTGAAATTTGGTATGATTTTCAACACATAATTAAATTATAATGGATAGGTTACAACTTTTGCTACATCTTTTCAGTATTATAATATAATTGATTGTCCGGCATAATATCTTCAATTTTTCAACATTCACATATGTAGTTATTGTAAGCATAAAACAATCTTGTACCTGAAGGTCAAATTATGGTAAAATCTTCAAGCCTGTAGGGTGATGTCAGCTAAAAGGCTAATAATATCTCTACGTAAGTTGAATGCAATGTGCTTGATGAGAACTATGAAACTAGCTACATCACCAGTGTAATATATGAGAATGTGACTTACTTTCTAGGGAGAACATAGTCAAATGCTAAACAATCCAAAGGATAAATGTCAGAACTAAGATATTGCTTTTATCAACATACACATCTCACATAGCACATTATAGGAAAATCATTTATTATCGGCAGCAATTGGTCATTTTCTGGTGGTTTTAGAAATTATGTGTTTCATATGGAAGAGCACCTGGAATAGGAACAACATCGTTTCCTTGATGAAGTACCCAAGCCAAAGCTAACTGAGCTGTTGTGCATTGGTGTTTTGTAGCCAATTTCTCTAACCTGAAGTATAGCATCTTATTTTTCTCTAGATTTTCTTCACTGAATCTTGGGTGTGAAGCCTGACATAGAAACAGCTTCAATAATGTGTTGAACTCAAACTCATGAACATAAGTGCATTATAATTATCACAATGTTACCAGTGCACTATTTGCAGGCACACTTTCAAGAACTGCTTTACCAGCAAAAAAGCCACGGCCAATAGGACTATATGGAACTACTCCAATCCCAAGCTCTCTACAAATAGGAAAGAATAAGTAGATTTAAATATAGTTGCAATCAAACAATTAGCAAGATTGGAATGCCAACATGCATAAAATGATAAAGATGACAAAATGCACAAAAAACAAAATTCTACTACCTTTATGCTTCCTTGATTCCACCATTTGGTCTTTGCTTTAAACAAGGTATGAGCATTTACAGGGATTTCATAATTTGAATATTCACATTTAAAGATGACACTACTTGCCTATTGGGAGGAGTTCTTGAGCTTTTTGAGTTCTACTTTTGAGAGAAGAGAGCAGAATTTGGAGGAGGAAAATCTAGTCTAAAACTTTATTCTAATTTCCCCCCAAAACTAATACATCACATATGACCTCTATTAATAGATATTAACAATGGTGTTATAACTTGCAGGAACAAAATAATTAACCTAAAACTAAATCAATTCATAACAACATTAATAGAGAATTACATCTCCATTGTGTTAGTTAGTGAAAACAAGAATGATTTTTAAGCTTCCTGTTCTATCCTCCCTCATCTAATCATGATAATCCAACCTTTGAGTATATAATTCGATGATTATTACTGAATACTAACTCAATTAACATATCAAATGAAACATTTTCCTTTCTACTACAAATCAAGATGTTTCATAAAACAAATATACGATAAACTTTCCTGGAATTATTCTAGTCTTTCAGCAATATAAAGAGTAGAAATTTAATCAATTATTGCTATCGATATTCCTTATTTTTTTCAACATGTAGGCAGTTAAACTATCAAAAAAATGAAGAGTAAAAATTTAAAGCCTAACATTTAAAGTTCTTACTAAAAACTATAATAGCAAATGTAAGTTGTTAACCAGCAATAAGTCTATATATGAATAACTAAGACTTCATTTGGAACAACTTTCTTACTGTTTCTTAAAGCAACTTTTTAGCACAAAATTAAAAACTTTTGTACAAAAAAACTGCTTTAAGAAGCAAAAAGAAAGCCGTCCCAAACGAAGCCTAAATTTTCCAAACCTGCAAAGTGGGATTATCTCTTCCTCGATATCTCTAGTCCAAAGAGACCACTCTATTTGCAATGCACTAATTGGGTGAACAGCATGAGCTCGCCTGATTGTATCAGCGCTTGCTTCTGATAGCCCAACATACTTTACCTTACCCTCCTCAACCAACTTCTTAAGTTCTCCAACCTATGATCACATGAGTAGGAGCCAAACACCAAGCTTAAGCCATGAAAGATTCACAGAATTCAAAAATTTTGATGGTTAGTGGTCTCACTGTTTCTTCAATGGGCACAGTTTGATCAACCCGGTGCTGATAATACAAATCGATGTAATCCAATCCAAGCCGCTTGAGGCTTCCTTCCAAGCAAGCCCTCACATACTCTGCCTTACCATTTACGATAGGGTTTCCTCCTTCATCAAACCCCACATTGCCAAATTTAGTCGCCAATTGAATCTTTTCCCTCGGAAGCTGCTTCAGTGCCTGCAGGCAGTCATTTTCTTCATCTATAAATCTTTCATACATCCTTATTCGAAAGAAGAGAAGGGGATTTAACACAGACCTTGCCAAGCAGGATTTCATTAGTATGAGGTCCATAAACATCGGAGGTGTCAAAAAAGGTTATGCCTTTTTCAAAAGCTTCCTTGATGATGGAAATCCCCTCTTCTTCACACACAGGAGAATTATACCTTCCAGTGAGACCCATACACCCAAACCCTAATTTAGATACCTAAATAAGGAGAGAAAAAGAGAACGAATCAGTAAATACACTATGACAACAATAAATAAGACAAAACCAAGGCTTAAATAAGGATCGTGCCCTCTTTTTCCTCAAAAAAAGTTCAAAAAAATGAACAAAATACAATACATTGCTATCTGCAAGAAGTTGAACAAAGATATTCCAAGTTCGAAGATAAAGGACTTGAAAGATTGAGTTTGTCACCTCTAATCCCTGAGATCCCAACTTCACTCTTGGTATGAGGATTTGGCTTTGCTCCTCCATTGCTTGCGATCTTGTCTTAGCCTCTGCAAACAAAAAAAATCAGATTCTTCTCTCTCGCCTAACTTTGAGTTTGGCTTATGGGCCTTCAATTTAAAGAGTCTTGATCTGATGACCATTGTGAGCTCTGTGTTTGCGATTGGTGAGGTCAGCGCATGCATCATTTAATATCGTTTTTTTTTTTTTGGGAAAATTTAGTGCTTAGCCCAATTCATTCCAACAAATAGAATACAATGGAAAGGCTGACTACTACCACAACCTGCCAGTAGTAGTGAACCAACAAAAAATAACTATCAGCATAAAAAAGCTACCAAAACAAATTTAAAAAACCACATAGTAACTATCTGCTTAGCAGCAGTAATACAGAAGAAAAACAGTAAACAAAATTATTACTATCTCCCTACATACAGATAAAATCAGCTGAAAATCATGAAAAACTCCCTGTAGAGACTAACAGACGAGCAGAATCCGGAGAGGACCATCCGAAATTATAGAGCTCCCAATCCATAGCATGCTATGAAAAACTCCCTATAGAGAATGCAGACGCATATTTAATCGTGTGGTGACCATCAGTAATTAAGGAGCTCCCAAGCCATAAAAAACCTGGACTCAGATTTAGTATGTCAGGAATTTGATCAATTATTGCATATTGAATTCCCTGGTTGCCCGTAGGCCTTCCAAGGGAACCAATACAAATTTTTGGGAGTATCATCATTGTCCAGGAGGCTACATACACCAATCTGGGACATTTGCATCGATAGGGCCATAGAATGATTAAAGAAGCTGGCACGATGAACGTCTGCCAACTTACAGCAATTCCATAAGATCCAAAGAATTTCCCCATTTATGTATTTTTTCACATAAATTTCTCTTTATTATATGTAACAGAGAAGTGTCACAGTTGATGGCATTACCAAACCTCCTACCATTTCTTTCTCTCCAGATATGGTAAATAGCACAACAAACAGTCACATAAAAGTAATTTTTAACCTTCGCATTCCCTTTGTATTGAACTTTTACCCATTCAAAAACCTGCATAATGGTTGGTCTGAAAAGAAAGTGTTTCATTCCAGGAAATAAAGCAGTGAGAATGGTAAAAGTATAAGAGCACTCAAAGAACATATGAGAGACAATTTCATTGTGATAATGGCACAGGCTGCAAGTGCCAGGAACATTAATGTTTCTAGTGATAAGAGTATCAGCTGTCTTTAAACCACCAACTAGAGCCATCCAGACAAAAACCGAATGCTTGAGTATGTTTCTTTTAGCCCACACCATTTTATGCCAAGAACAAGTTTGATAATCCGCATAGAATTCTTCTATACAATTTTTGAATTTATAATTGGGCCTGTTTTTCCATAACAGACACGGTCCCTCCTCCCCAATGGTATTAATACCAGCAACCAAGTTTCTCAGATAAGGAGGAATGGATTCAGGAAAAATCCATTGAGTACCAATTATCAGGTCTTTCAAGAAAATATCAGGACAATCATCCATAGAATACCCGCCTAAATGATCAGTTACAGTCTCATTATTCAACCAGTGATCCCAGATCAGAGATATTGAAGCATTCTGGGTAATTTTGAAATTAAAACAATGTTTAACTTCAAAAGCAGTCTTGCATATGAGTTTCCATGTTTTGGTTGCCAGGTTCACACTAAATGGTCTCCAAGGGGATTTGTATTGGCAGAGAAGCCACGTGGAGAGAGGAGTTGAGCAATTATACATTCTAAATATAACAGAACAAATGTACGCAAATTGCATAGCAGAGATGGAAGGAATGCCAAGACCTCCTTTATTTTTGGGTCTACATATTTTATCCCAAGAAATCATGTGTAACTTTTTAGCATTCATAGTGTCCCCAAAAAACAAAAACCTGGCACTGGATTTGTTGAGAAATTTGTAAACATATTTTGGCAATATAGACCCTCTAATCCAATACGCAATTGTATTTTGAATAGTGAATTTGATGTATTGCAGCCTACCCGCAAAAGACAAGAGGTTGGCTTTCCATCCATTCATTTTCTTATTGACTTTGTCCAATAAAGGCAAGTAATATTCTATTTTCAATCTATAATAAGATAAGGGAATGCCAAGGTAATTTATTTTATTGACAATATTGAAAATAGTTAGAGCTTGACAAATATCTTGAATGTGACTTTGATTTCTTGGGAACATTATAGCACTTTTTTCATAGTTAACTTGGAGACCTGAAGAATTAGCAAAATCCCTTAAAGAGTTGGCCAAAATATTGCAATTCTCCAATGTAGCCTCCCCAAAAATTAATACATCATCTGCATATAACAGATGAGAGAGAGAGTAGTTGTCAATGGATATGCCTCTAAATCCTCTACTCTCCAATAGGTTTGAAAAAGCATCCATGACTATGCAAAATAAATAGGGACTGAGAGGGCATCCCTGACGAAGTCCAGCATAAGAAGAGAAAAAACCTTCTAGAGCCCCATTGAGCATTATGGAGAAAACCTTTTTGGGCTAGTCTATCTAGCAAAAATTTTCGGCTAACAGAGTCAAAAACCTTTTTTATGTCCAGTTTTGCACAAAAGGTGTTGTAATTCCTTCTCTTACCAGCAAAACATAGAATTTCATTAGCAAGAAGTATATTATCAGTGGAAACTCTAGATTTTACAAAGCCCGCTTGATTGTCCTTAACAATCAAGTTCATCACTGGTTTCAGTCTTTCGGCAAGCACCTTGGCAATTATTTTGTAGATAACATTACATGACGCTATAGGTCTGTATTCAGAAATAGCAGTAGCATTTTTGTGCTTTGGGATAATTGCTAGTGCTGTAGCCTTTACACCATTAGGCATATAACATTTTTGGAAAAAAAGATTTAATGGCCCTACAGACAGATGGACCGATTATATGCCAAGCCGACTTATAAAAAAAGAAATTGAAACCGTCAGGCCCCGGGGCTGAATTAGAAGAGCCCGAAAAAACTACATATTTAATCTCCTCATCCAGCACTAGAGAAGAGAGCCTGGAAACATGAGTTTGTGGTAATAACACCCCAACAGGAAAACCATTCAGGTTCTCATTAGGAGGAGGCAAGGGGTTATAGAGGCCTTGATAAAATTGAATAAGAGAATTAATCACATCAGATCTAGAAGAGGCTGAATTATTAGTAAGGAGATTAGCCACAGAGTTGTTAGAACCTCTTCTGGTTCTAATTTTTGCATATAAGAATTTTAAGTCCTCCTCCCCATTTTTTATCCACTTCACTTTAGCCCTCTGAGTTATCCAAGAGGCATACATTGAATTGAATTTTGCAAGCTCCATATTTAACTCCTTGAATGAGTGATTTAAAGCAGGATTGATAGGATCATTTTGAAGCTTAACCAACAGATTAGCTTGTTCATTATTCAAGTTATCCAAATGTCTAGAAACGCATGTGGAAGAGGACCACTTTTCTTTTTTAATAGCACATTTTATCTGCTTCAAAGTTTTACTGAAATGAGATAATGGATTCCCTATGCAAGGGGTAGAAAAAGCCTCAAGAAGAATGGCCCAATAGCTATCTAGATTAGACCATTAGTTTTTGAATAAGAAGCGATGATTAACATGAGTATTTGATCCGGAGTGTAAAATAATTGGGCAATGGTCCGAGCAGGAAGGGCTTTGAAATGAACAGTAAGAATCAGTAAACATATTCAACCAACCCTCATTCACTAAAACACGATCGAGTTTTATGTGAATAGGGTTATTAGTACGCTGATTGAACCATGTATATTTAAAGCCAACCGAGTGCAAATCCACAAGGCTATTACTGAAAATCATATTGTTAAAATCTAACAATGAAGATTGAGTAATAGAATTACCTCCAGATTTTTCATTGGCATACCTACAGCAATTATAGTCACCAATGAGAACCCAAGGGAAATCTGCAGCAGGAGCCAATTGTGCTATAGAATTCCACAACTGTTTTCGGTCAGCATGACTGTTAGCCGCATAAATTGCAGAAAGCTGAAAGAGTGGAAGATTAGCAACCCAGATTGTCCCCGAAATAACCTGAGACGAAATATAAGAAGGCTTAAACATTAGTTTTGAGGCATTCCACTTTATCCAAATCCGACCCGAGGCATTTAAATCAAAATTGTTGCAACTTGCTTCATTAGAATAAAGAGAATGAGCAACTTCGAAGAAAGGATCACTTAAAGAAGAAGTGTTAATCCTATTTTCCAATATGCAAACCAAGTCTAGCTTGAATGATTGAATGAGTCGCTTGAGACAGAAAACTTTATCAGGGTGATTAAAACCCCTGATATTCCACGCCGCCATGGGTGGGAAAAACATTAAGAGTTTGGATGAGACTGAGGTTTTTTGTTCTGCTTCCCCCTTGCAGATTTTTTTGTAGCAGCACTCGATTGAGTCTGTTTATTTTTCTCCGGCATTATGCTTTTGCCACTAATCGATGAGTCTAAGATTCCATCCACACCCCCTAAATCTTCAGAGTGATGAGAATTAACTTCCTCAATATTGAGGACTTCAAACCTATTTGGAGATATGATATCTTTTATCTTGGCGGGGGATTTTGTGTTCAGGGAAGTAGACGAAGAAGAGAAAGCCTCATTGGGAAAATTCAGGTTAGGGATACCTGAGACAATAACATTCTCATTAATTGGCAAATCCGAAGAAGGCTTTTCTCCTCCCAAATTGTCTAAGATGATATGGTAGTTCTGGGAAGTTGGGGAGTGCGGCTGAAAATGCAAAGGGTGGCCTATTGCATTAGATTTATTGACGTTATTGTGGCTAGTGGATTGTGCAGCTTTACTGAGCGGGGCTTGTTGCACCACATTAGTGGGCGGAGGCCTAGAGAGATTCTGACTCCTAGACTTGTTTTTGCTTCGAGCATTCCTACTTTGGCTTCTACCCCGATTAGCAGTTTTATTTTTCTCCAGTTCATCTGAGTCAGTCTTAGGCTTTTCAATACAAGATGCAGAAAAATGCATTAAAGACTTACAGTATTCGCAGGGGAGCGGTCGCCACTCATACTGA